AAAGGTATTGTGTCCAACTACAACTAAGAAAAAAATTTAAAAAAAAATAATTCAATTCATTTAACATTTATTTTTCATTATTTGGCAAGCACCAAGTTAGATGAGTTAGAAAGTACACTATGGCTATAATAAAACATTTTTCATAACCATTCTTTTGAAAAAGAACGTTTAATTGGTTAAATCATTGGTTTAACCAGAAGGGACCTTGACAGTAATTTCAGTCAACTGCCTGATGTTACATGATAGTTTAAAGTTCTATCAGTGCCAGGGGCTGGGGTTATGGCTCAGTGGTAGAGCACTTGCCTCATATGTGGGGTGCACTGGGTTCAATTCTCAGCACCACATATAAATAAATGGATAAAATAAAGGTCCAACAACAACTAAAAAAACAATTAAAAAAAAAAAAAGAAGAAGAAAGCAGGCCCCGTTACTAAAAAAAAAAAAAAAAGATTCTATTCATGTCATTTCTTTTCTTTTCCATAATAACCTGTGAATCTTTTAGCTCAGTTTTTTTTTCCCTCCACATCCTCTCATCTCCATTCAGCTAATTCTTACTTTCACTGAGGCCTTTCTCATTTTTCTGTACCCTAAGACACTCTGCAGATCCTTAATCTAACCATAGAAAAACCCTTTGACCTTTCTTAACTGAAAGATTGATTATAGAAAAAGCAGTTTTCCCTATCCATAATAAAATTTTCTTGTTTACTGTAATTTTTTTTATGGACACAGTACCTCTATTTTTTTTTTTAGTTTTTAAATTTTATATGGTTCCAAGGATCAAACCCAGTGCCTCACACATGCTAGGCAAGCGCACTACTACTGAACCAGGACTGCAGCCTTTTTCTATAACTTCTTCTTGAGTTTTGGAAGTCTCTCTTGATCCCTATGGATCTGTAAGAACTTACTGTGATCAAAAATGCAGAATCTGTATAGTTCCCATTTCTTTAAAATCTTTTCATTCTGTGGACCTGAAAGAAATTCTGATGGCACAATTTTAATTTCTCCTATAAACAGATCCATCATATTAGGTTTGTTAACATACACATTATTTCATGACTGCCATTCTTGAGGGCCTTAAGAAATACTGCTACATCATAAAAGCATAACCAGAAGCTCCTCAGTTTGCCCAAAGAATTATGGCATTTGGTGCCATGGTGAGCTGAGGGATGGACGCCATATCAGGGGTGGGGGTGGGTGGGCTCAGGGCCCAGTGTGGGTCCACAGGCACTTTCCTAGAGCATCTTCATGTAGTGGAAAGTGAGAGTTTTTCAGGAATCATCCAAATGGATGAAGATACACATTACAATAAAGTTGATGATGGGGTTGGAGGTCATTTAGAAGACTCAGTAATATTTTGGACCCATATCATTAATAGAAATAATGCTGTTGTGACAATTGGTTGCTTACTTTGTGAGGTTTGTCATAATACCAATTCACTTTTGGGGAATCTTTTATGTGGTGCTTAGGATCGAACCCAGGGCCTCACCCATGGTAGGCAAGCGCTCTACTGCTAAGCCACAACCCCAGCCCCAGTTTGGGGGAATCTTGATCCAAAGATTTGTGATAGATTGTTTTCTGAAGATGAGAACTAAATATTATCAGCAATAAAAAGTCAGAAAATAGCCAGGCTCAATAACACACACCTGTAATTCCAGTGGTGCAGGAGGCTGAGGCAGGAGGATCATGAGTTCAAAGCCAACCTCAGCAAGAGCAAGGCACTTAGCAACTTAGTGAGACACCCTGTCTCTAAATAAAATACAAAATAGGGTTGGGGATATGGCTCAGTGGTCGAGTGCCCCTGAATTCAATCCCTGGTACCAAAAATAGGGCAGGAAGTGTGTGTGTGTGTTTTTTTCTTAAGGAATATTTATTCTAGTTCTAAAATTTTATGTTTATTGAGACCATCATTGCTTATTCATAGTAATAATAGGGTCTGGTTTAATGAACTTACAAAATGATTAAAACATGTTTTTCTCCTAATGAACACAAAGGAAATTAGTTGCCAGAAAACAGGTAAGGTGCTGGGTGTGGTATCATATACCTGTAATTCCAGTAACTCTGGAGGCTGAGGCAGGAAGATCACAAGTTTGAGGCCAGCCTTCACAATTTAGCAAGACTATGCAACTTAGCAGGACCTTGCCTCAAAATAAAACAAAGGACTGGGGATGTGGCTCAGGGTTGGGTGTCCCTGGGTTCAATCCCTGGCACCCCCCAAAAAAGCAAAAACAACAACAAAAAATTTAAATGGAAAGGTGGGGGGAGCCAAAATATATGAAACACCTTCAGTCACCAGAGTCTTCTCTTAATTTAGTCCTGACAACAACTCTATTAGCAAGTTTTCCATTTAACAGATGTGTAAACTAAGGCTTGTGTAAGTTAAGTCATAGAGTCACTTAATCAGTAAATAGGAAAACCGAATCTTTACATAGTTAGATGTTACTCCAGCACCCCTGCTTTCTTCCATTGGTAAGCCATGCTGTATTCTAGATGTGGAAGTAAGACAGGGAACAGTTACAATATTTGGTATAGAATGAGAGTTCTATACCAAATATTTGCATCTAGTGAGCTTGCCACAGAAAGAAATCTGTATCATTTGGCAAGAGTGGCACAACCATCCAATGATTCCAATAGCCCTGCGTTTGTCTGTTTCAGGATATTTCATATAAAGTAAAAATGCTTTCTGCTGCAAATCTTAAGCCTAATGGTAGTGATAATATATGAGGTCTTTTGTCAACATTCATATGACAAATTTGTCTTCTTTGTCACTACTTGCAAAGCAGTAAATTCTTGAAAACCATTGTGAACATGCCAACCCCCACCAAAAAAAAAAAAAAGTGTTTCACAGTAACTCTGAGGTTGTTTGGAATGAGCTCCACATTTCTTCTGTCCTCCATTACTGGCACTCTTCACCATAAATGCCATCTTCTTCTGTTTCTGACTAATCTCCTTGTAATGACTGAGGTTTTGCCTTGTATTATCTGGCTCCTCCTGAACTTGCCTCTCCTTTATTGATTTGCCTTTTTACTATAACAACTGTGGTAATTATTGCTTGTATTTACTGAGCATTTTCTAAGAACCAGGCACATTTCATAGCTCTTTATATATGTTTGTGTCCTTGAATCTTCACAACTGCTTTATACTAGAAACTATTGCTGTGCTCTTTGCATAAGTTAGAAAACTCAAGGCTCAAGGGCTGCTTATGTAGCTCAGTAGTAGAAAGCATACATGTGTGAGGCTCTGAGTTCAGTCCTCAGCAAATGAGAGGGGCGGGAGGGGGAGAGGGAGAAACAGAAAAGAAAAACTGAGGCTCAGAAAGGTGAGGGAACTTTCCTAATGTTAACAGATATAAGTGATAGAAAAACTGGAATTAAAATTTTAGTCTGACTTCAAAGCTCATGTGCTTATATTGGTTCTGTGCTGATGATAGAGCACCTCCTGGATTCCAATGCATTTTCCACCCTTTGCGTGCCTGTTTACATAATGGGAACTTCTGTTGCTCATGGTCTGCTTTTAGGCTAATAAATATAAGTACCTGAGTTCCAAAGTGTTGGACAATCTTAGGTTGGATCATTCTTTCAGAGCATTTTTTCTTTTACTCTCCCATTTTAAGGGTCATAATGTTTTTCTGACCACTATCAGTATATATAATCCACGGTTTATGGCTGAAAATTAGGATTGTATTATATGTAGCTTTTTCATCCAGATCCAAGATCAAGGCACCTTGAGGATGATGTGATGACCCTCTTCCTGACTTCCTGACAGCCATCTGTCTTTTTGTTTTATCCTCCACTTGAAGAAAAGAGCTAGAAATCTCTCTGTGAACTTTTCTATAACGCATTAATCCCATTCATGAGGACTCCACTACCATGACCTAATTATTTTCCAAAGACTCCACCTCTCTTTCACCATCATTTGGGAATTGGGATTTCAACATATGAATTTGGAGGTCTGAGAATTTAGGGGGAAAAAAATCCAAACTCGGTTTCTCCTACTCTATAGCATGTGGAGGAGGGGTGGCTCCCTGCCTGCCAAGCAGGCAATGCTATAGCAACAACCAGGTAGGTGTCCTCTAATTCAATTCAGTTTTGACACTGTCTACCTGGAGAGAGCTTCACATTCCGTAAGTTAAGGGCTTAGTCCCCAAGACCATCCCCCTATTCAGGAGCCAGTCACAGGCCCTACATTGTTTTACCTGAACTTCTGACCAACCAGATATGAGTCAGAGTTCCTAAAATCACCCTCCTAGGGTACCATTATTTTCTTAGGGCAACCTACAGAGCTCAGGGGAAACATTTACAATTTTCTTGTTTATTACAAAGGATATTACGAAGGATACCAATAATACCAGAATGAAGAGATGGATAGGATAAAGTGTAGAGACAAGGGGTGCTGAGCCTCCATGCCTTCTCTGGGCTACTCTCCAGGAACCTCCGTGTGTTCAGCTCTCAAAAGCTCCTTGGAATCTTGTCCTTTTGGGGTTCATTGAAGTTTCATTACATAGGCATGATTGATTAACTCACTTGTCATTGGTAGTCAATTCAACCTTCAGTCCCTCTCACCTCCTGGGAGTTTGGGGAAGTGGGACTGAAAGTCCTAACTCTCTAATCTAGCCTTAGTCTTTCTGATGACTAGCCCCCCTTCCTGAAGCTCCCTAGGGCTGCCAGCCAGTCAGTCAGTTATTAGAATACACACACACACACACACACACACAAATCACTACTACTTTGGAGATTGCAAGGAATTTAGGAAGTGTATACCAGGAAAGGAAGATAAGCAAATATACATTTCATGGGGAAAGGGGGATAACATTCTGTTTGTACATAATGCAGTGAAGTTACCAGAACAATCAGATGTTTTTAAAGTAAACGTATACCTAATGGACTCCCATTAGCCTGCTACTTACTCATAATCACCTTTATGGGTTTTTTTGTGATTAAATTTATAAAAATGTTTTGTGTATTCTTGAGCAGGCTTACTTTCTTCTATGGCTCTGAGCCTGGAGAGTTCTAACCAAATTCAAAATCAGGAAAAGGAGGTGTGGGCTTTTGGGCTTTGTAGATCAGCAGCTTGAATGTGGTTGGCAGTCTCCTCCCCTTCCGCACTTCGGCTCAGAGTGTGCACTCTGGAATGACAGGCATTCCTGTGTGAGGAGAGCCAGCATGAAGACATATTTGTAAGAACCACAAGTGCCCAGGCTGGAATACAGGGAACAGAAACTCCAGCAGATTAATTGACCTCATGCCACTTCCTGACTTTTGGCAAGTGACACTGAGAAAAGGATTTCAGCTTGTCTCCTTTTGTGGATTTATCTTTTTAAAAGAAGTTTACTTTTGTCCGGGACAGTTTGTTGTCGTGAGATACATCAAACAGTATAATCATGGGGCAAGCTGATGTCTCCAGACCGGTAAATCCAGATGCAGTTGGTGAGTAATAGAAGGCAAAAAAACAGAAAATCTTGACAGAGGCAGACAGATTTACAGATGAAGTTCAATATTTCATAGGAATTTGAATGCAAGAATTTTGATGTTCATAACTTTGGAGCATTTATAAGTTTGTGAAGAATGAATGGAAACAGTATTTTCATTCAGTTAAATTAATTTGCCACTCACAGTTTTGTTTTACTTGATCTCATTGGAGTTTTTTATATTATATTGCTAGAAAGTTACTTGTTAATTTCTTGCCTATATAGAAGATAAATGCTACCAGAACTCTTATTTAGAATTCAGAGGTATTTTACAAGTAAAAAATTTTGTAATACACACCCAATTGTTAATGTGTGACAGAACCATTTTAAAAAATAGAGTTAATTTTTTAGACTTGGTTACACATTTTCTAAGTAAGTCACAGGCTTTTTGGGGATAGCTAGAGACCAAGTTGATCATTGCAGGTGTAGCTCAGAGTTTCAAAGCTGAAAAGGTTGTCTATTGTCACTATAAGTTCATTTTTCTAACTTTGTAGGGGTTTATGTATAAGATGATGATCATAAACTGAGGGAAAAGTTTTAAGTGAATATTCACTAAGGAATTTCTAAATATAAGGAAGGCAAGAGAAAGCCTATAAATTGTTTCTGGACACTATATTATTCAAGAAAAAGATTTAGATCTTCATTTTGATTTATGAAGCATCAGAAAACATGTTCAGTCCTATGATGCTTTTTTTTCCTCTGAGAAATATATTTTGTAACTAAAGGGAAATATAAAAGTGTAAGAACACAGGTAACATTCCCTATCTATCATAATTTGATGTGATATTTAGTTCCTAAATTAGATAATATCTTGTGAACTTCCCAATTAAATATCTATAAAACTATTTTTCATGTAGTACTCAAACTGAGTCACATGGATCACAAAGTAAGTTATTCAGCAAGAGATTTTTGATACTAAGGTCAGGATTTTATTCACTTTACTTTGATCACCAGAACTGGGTCTTTATCAATTCAATAGCTCACTTTAGAAAAAGATGTAGAGAAAAATGTAAAAACCCTCTGGGACCACTTCCCGATTTAAGAAATGAAATTAAAAACATAAGAGATGAGGGACTGGGGTTGTGGCTCAGTATTGTGTTCATCTACAACTAAAAGAAATATTTCAAAAAGCAAAAACAATATAGTCTCCTCTGTTTGATAAATAATTTTGTAAATAACTTGCTTTTGAACCATTAACTTCTTGGGTGGTCAAAGAATAGTTCTAAGGGCTGGGGATGTGGCTCAATCGGTAGCGCGCTCGCCTGGCATGCGTGCGGCCCGAGTTCGATCCTCAGCACCACATACAAACAAAGATGTTGTGTCCGCCGAAAACTAAAAAATAAATAAATAAATATTAAAAAAAAAAATAGTTCTAAGTACTCTAATAATGTTAGACACTTATCTATGAGACAAAAGTGAAAAAGCATTTACAATCAGATACATGAAAAATTGTGCTCTATATGTGTAATATGATTTGAATTGCATTCTGCTATCATATATAACCAATTACAATAAATAAAATAAAAAGTGATAAGGACCCCCCCATCTAATCTTTTTTTTTTTAAATTTTTTATTGTTGGTTGTTCAAAACATTACATAGTTCTTGATATATCATATTTCACACTTTGATTCAAGTGGGTTATGAACTCCCATTTTTACCCCATATACAGATTGCAGAATCACATCAGTTACACATCCATTGATTTACATATTGCCATACTAGTCTGTTGTGTTCTGCTGCCTTTCCTATCCTCTACTATCCCCCCTCCCCTCCCCTCCCCCCATCTAATCTTAATATGCTATATGAAAGATTTCATGAGTAGATTAAAGATCAAATTGATCAATTTTTTTTGCCTACCAACAGCCCTGATAAAAAGATCTCTAAGGAAGAAATAAAATCACTTAGGAACCCAACTATGATTTTTGTATTCTCTCTGGATTTAATTTTCAATTGTTTCCTATATCTAAATAATTAGTAGGCGTCAATAAGCAATTTTAATGCACTGACTCTATTATAATATTATTTGCAATTTGTGGTGTATTCCATTTTTTTTTTTTGTAGTTACAGATGGACAGCATGACTTTTTTATTTGTTTATTTTTAAAGTAATTTTTAAAGGTCAACTGTTTAGAAAGTCATACCAGGTTTTTTGAAATGATAAACAAAATAAATTAAAACTTAAATTTTTTGTTTGATGTTCTGGGTCTATAATAGAGTACTTAGTCTTGAGTTTTGAAGTTAATGGTACTAGGTTGGGCAAGCGATACAAATACATGAATTTGAATATATTAAATTGTTTTCTGGTACTGAGGATTGAACTCAGGGTTACCACTGACCTGCATTTCCAACTCTTGGAATGGGGTCTTGCTAAGTTGCCCAGAGTAGCCTCAAACATGTAATCCTCCTGCCTCAGACTCCGAGTAGCTGGGATTACAGTGTGCACACCCATCTTGAATGAGTTTCTATTTATTTTCAAGTCACTATAAATTATATAAAGGATTTTGTATAGATGTAATTCATGTCTGTGCTCCCAAGAAGTTTGCTTGTGGGCTGGGGATGAAGCTTGGTGATAGGGTGTTTGTCTAGCAAATATGAAGCCTTGGGTTTAAATCCCCAGTGCCACACACAAAAAAAGAAGTTTGCTTTTTAGTTGACAAATTTATAATATATAAAGAAATCTGGGGTGGAGTTGTGGCTCAGCCGTAGAGCGCTCGACTAGGACAAGTGAGGTGCTGGGTTTGATCCTCAGTACCACATTAAAATAAATAAATAAAATAAAGGTATTGTGTCCAACTATGACTAAAAAGAAAAAAAAAATCTGAAAGAGTTGTACGTTTTAAAAGAGTTATTAAAGCATTCTCCTTTTTTTAAGTTAGTGAATTTCCTTGGCTTATGATGAAAGCCCAGAGCTGTTAATCAAGAAGAATCTATTTTCAAACAAATAACCTTTTCCTGAGGACTTAACTGCAAATTTAAGAGATATTAGTAGCCATTCAGAATGTTTTTACTTTAAAATCTTTAAACAACTGATAGAATAATTGAGCATTTGAATAGAAAGTAGGAATTTATGCTGTGGTGTTCATTCAAAGAGATGAGCAATTAAACTTAGGAGTTCATAGGAAAAAAATTATTCTTACAGGTAGCACACTCCTGTAATCCTTGCAGCTCCTGAGGCAGAAGGTTCACAGTTTGAGGCCAGCCCGGGCAACTTAGTGAGACCCTGTCTCAAAATATGAAAAAAAAAAAAAGGTGGGGGGTCCTGGGGATGTGGCTCAGTGTGGCCCTGGGTTCAATCCCCGGTACCTTAATTAATTAATAAATTAAGAGCTGGGGTTGTGGCTTAGTGGTAGAGCGCGTACGAGGCCCTGGGTTCAATCCTCAGCACCACATATAAATAAATAAAATAAAGGTATTGTGTCCAACTACAACTAAAAAAAGAAAGAAATACTTTTTAAAAATTAATTAAAAGTAGGCTGGGGGTATAGTTCAGTGGTAGGTCTCCCCTGGGTTCAATCCTCAGTACCACAGAAAAAGAAAGAGAAGAGAAAGGAAGGAAATGTGCTGCTGTTGAATTTGGAATAACAACCAAAATTTATAGCCCCTCTGTCTGCCCAGTAGATTTTCTGTGTATCCTATCATCATGGCCATGTGTTTCTTTTTTCTACTTGCAGGTAAACTCTGGCAATTTTAAGGGTGTTCCACCCCACACCTCATAAGAAAACAGCTAATACTTTGGCCCTTTATTGTAAAGACTATCCTCTGCCTGTAATTTTTATCAAAAAAGTATGCACATCAAGTTGCTTAGATTAAAGCAGATCACATGATCACATTTAAAAAAAATTTCTGTGGTGCTGGGCATTGACCCAGAGCCTCAAGCATGCCAGGGAAGTGCTTCACCACTGAGCTGCACCCCCACCCAGCATCACTTCTTGATGCAGTCATGGTAGCAAGCTTTATTTTTCCAGAGGTGGAATCTCAGAACTAATCGTACTTACAAATACAGAGAGAGTCCTTTTCCCTGTCTTCTCTTGAGTGCTTTGCCCTCTTCGTAATCTGCAAGGGTAAGAGCTATGCAAGATTTCCAGGAGAATTATGGGCCTCCTCTAGATAAAGCCTTCTTTGTTCATTAGTGACAGATTTAGGTTCTGTAATTTCATTGCAGTGTTTTGAAGCAATTCTGTAAATCCAGTAATAATCCTTTTAGCAAAAATGAGTAAGTACAGTAGTGTTAAGTACCATAAATTAATGTTCTCCGTTCACAAAGTTCTGAAAATGCTTTTTGTAGCAAGATCTATTTCTAGGTAGGTGGCATAAAGTATATTAAACAGATAAAAATCCTTAGATTATAAAGATATTTGGCTCTTTTTGCAGGGCGGGGTGGGGGCACAGTACCCAGGATTGAACTCAGGGGCTCTTGACCACTGAGCCATATCCCCAGCTCTATTTTGTATTTTATTTTATTTAGAGACAGGATCTCACTGAGTTGCTTAGCACCTCACTTTTGCTGAGCCTGGCTTTGAACTCACTATCCTCCTGCCTCTGCCCCCCAAGCTGCTGTGATTATAGGCATGTGCCATTGTACCTAGTGTATTTGGCACTTCTTAATACTAAAGTGTGTATATTGTTGAACAGAACTATATATTTTAAAATTCTGGACAAATAACTGATAATATTTTTATGGAGAAAATGAGAGAACTTTGTATACTTTAAGTCTAAACATCTTATTAAATGAGAGTTGGAGATTTACTTCAGTTGTAGATCACCTGCTTTGCACATATGAGGCCCTGGATTTCATCCCTAGCACCACAAAAATTACATTCTGTTTCACATTGAAGGGAATAAATAAAGGGAGGTGGGATTTGATCAGTGCATCCTATAAAAATACCTAGCAATATATCACACTGAACCCTTTTAATATGTATACCCTAGTATATGTTGATCAAAATTAAAAGTAATTAA